CATATTTGATGGAAAGAAGGCTGGTTTGCCAGCTAAAAGCTGGTGTGTTTTATTAATAGCTCAGTCAGTATTCCCTTGCCATTTTACTACTTGAAACATATTATTTTGACAATAAAATACTGCATGCATCTAATTTGCATGGAAAGGAAGCATTTAAATGACCTCCCATAATAACACTAGGTTACCAGACACCAGGCATTATAAAATCATCAGTAAATACGACTGAAAGCATGAACAAAACTAGAAAATGAAGACTGGCCTAATAAATTGGTCTACTGTTAATTGCTACCAATTGATTACAATTGGTTTTACAGATTCACACACCTGACGAGATAGAAGAGGAGGATATTTCAAGAAATGTGTCTCTATCATAGGTGATGTTGCAAAATTCAGAAAAGAGGAGACTGGATCAATCAAAGTTAGCTACAATCCAGAAATTTGAAACCTGACAAATAGATTTTTAGGAGCCACCCTAATCTCTTGGCTTTAATTTGTTTCAAAATTATTTTAATGTTGTATTTTCACCCTTATGGTGAATGATGGGTGGTATATTATTATTAATAATAATAATAATAATAATAATAATAATAATAGGACCAGGATGCAAGGTTCTATAAAATTACACATAGTGGCTTCTGTAATTCTGAAATGACGCACTCAAATTGGGACAGTTGACAGGTATGCAAACAAGAGTCTGGCTGTTGGGTTCTGAACCAAATGAACCCTTTCCAAAAGTAGGCCCACACAGAGCAAATCACAACAATATAAATGAACGTAACTAGGGCACAGAACAGCCGTGCCTAAGTCCCATTTCTCCAGGAAAGGTAAACAACTATATGATTGCTGCATATTTCACTTTTACTGGGAAATGAATCAAAAGTGTGGTGCAAACACGCCCAAAGCAGTGCATATGGACGATGTAAGGCCTGTGTTGTTCTTGCTCTTACCCCTTTAAAAAAGAGTTTGCATTTCTACATTATATTTCTGAAACTTCATATTATGAACCATCAACATAACCAAAGACAATTAGTGAATGCTCATGTCTCTTTCAGTGCAAAGAATATACCGCAAGGATTTACCCTACAATGTTTTTTAAAAATCCAAACAATGCCATAATAATAGTCATTTGTTGTGTTTTTTGCTCATATTAGAAACTTTCCTAATCTGTGCAATCACTGAGGTGCAGCTTGAAAGGTACACTACTTAATCAGATGGACAATAAATTATCCTAGTCTGTAATTGAAAATTGTCCTAAATCTGCAAATGACTTTAAAATCCTTGCCTCCACAAACCATTAAAATAATAAATAAATAAATACTGCCAAGGGCATTTTCAAATTTTATTTTATTTTACTTAGGAAGATTAGCCTTTTAAGTCCATAGGTCTTGGCTTTCCAGACGTTTAATCAACAGTGCAGAGAACAGCCACAAAGAAATGGGTTCCTGTTGCATTATCAAGTGTTAATAGAACCTCTCTCAGATCCCAACAACAATAGAGATTATCTCCTATGCAGGGAGCTTCCATTTCTCCGATGGAGAATTCAGAATCCCTTAATTTGGATCAGTGTGGACATAATAGTTACTACCACAATCAACAGTAACAATCTCCCGTGGTTGAAACAGATTTGTTTGCATACTTTGACTAGGCTGGACAGTGAGATAAAATGTAGTAATGGGGAATAATTTCCTAGGGATGTGAGGCTTTAAAAATTGTACTTTTAAGAAAAATAATGTGCTGTGCTGGTATGGTTCCCTTCCAGCACAGCCAGATTTGGAATAAAGGAAAAGTCAGTAGTCGTGGAGGCGATCTGCCCTGGGTTCAATTGGGACAGGGTCACAAAATAAACACAAGATCCTCGGGTTAGATCCTGTATAGCCCTTGGTGGATTCAATTCAGAGTTGCATGCTGGTCTTCGCCAGCTTCGTCTTCTTCCTCCTTCCTCTTGTGCCTCCTGAAAATATGAGACATCATTATGGAGGCCATAACTGGGGGTTATGAAATGGCTCTTCAATTTCAGGTGTTTCAGAAGGTCAGTGGAACACAGTGGTACCTCGGTTTAAGAACAGCCCTGTTTACGAACTATTCGGTATAAGAACTCTGCAAAACTGAAAGTAGTGTTCTGGTTAGCAAACTTTACCTTGGTCTACAAATGGAATCTGAACGGTGGAAGGGCACCGGCAGCAGGAGGCCTCATTAGGGAACACATGCCTCAGTTTAAGAACGGCTTTGGTTTAAGAACGGTCTTCCGGAACGGATTAAGTTCATAAACCAAGGTACCCCTGTACTTATCTTTCCTCCCATTGGGAGAAACAGGAGGCAAAATCTTAAAAATAAAAAATGGCAACAGAAAGGCCAAAAGAGATTGATGTGGGTGGAAAAGCACTCACACCCCCAATCTGTGAGCATGATCCTGGCAGCACTCTGGATTCATGTATGGTTACAGTTTTATGCTGCTTGATTGAAAGAACCTCTGTGGTTTACAAAAATCTAAAATGAAACATTTGCGTTCTTGATAGGAATAGTTATAAATACAAAATATTATTAAAACCGACGGTAGCTAAGAAGAGGTCAAACACATGCAACTTCTACATGACTGGATATAGGCATGTAAATGTTCTAAGCAGGTGCACAAAAGGAATACAGAGAAGGTGCCTGCCTGCTGTCATGAGGCAGGGAGTTCCAAAGTGTAGGCACTGCAACGCTAAAAGAATACTTACAAGTGCAGAACAGGTATGATGTGGCACTTAAAACAGTGCCAGTTCCACAAATCAGAGCAGTCGGGTGTGCACAAATGGTTAAGGCAAGGAAACTGATCCCAAGCTGTTAAGGGCTTTATATCCCACTGGTAACACCTTGAATTTGGCCCAGTAACAAATGGGCAACCAGTACTGATCTGTGAGCAGAGGTGTCAGTTGTTGACAGGGTCTCATGGCTGTGCTGGAAATGTGGACTTTGTTTGAGACTCTGTCTTCCTATGTTGTTGTTTAGTCGTTTAGTCGTGTCCGACTCTTCGTGACCCCATGGACCAGAGCACGCCAGGCACTCCTGTCTTCCACTGCCTGCCGCAGTTTGGTCAGACTCATGTTTGTAGCTTCGAGAACACTGTCCAACCACCTCGTCCTCTGTCGTCCCCTTCTCCTTGTGCCCTCCATCTTTCCCAGCATCAGGGTCTTTTCCAGGGAATCTTCTCTTCTCATGAGGTAGCCAAAGTATCGGAGCCTCAGCTTCACGATCTGTCCTTCCAGTGAGCACTCAGGGCTGATTTCCTTCAGAATGGATCGGTTTGATCTTCTTGCAGTCCATGGGACTCTCAAGAGTCTCCTCCAGCACCACAATTCAAAACTGTCTTCCTATATGATGCCCCAAATCTTCCTGACACAGTGCATATGGAGGGCACTGAGGTGTTGCTCTTGGTAGCTGCACGTTGTTCATAATTTGTATCTTCATGAGAAAATACATTTAGAAACATGTACATTTTGTAAGAAATCATGCTCAAAACACCACACATTTAAATATGAACTTTCATGCAGATTTTTTAAAATGATCTGCTGATTAATGTGAAAACAAGATGGACAGGTTTATAAATTAACATGTATGAAACTGTTCTTGACTAGAAATAGTCTGATCTGTCTCACGCCCGGCCGCCCGCCTCTCCCCCCCCCCCCCGCCCCGCAATTTCAGGTCAGTTATTTTCCTGAGTAAATACAGAAAACTGTTCTGCTGTTGCGTGTTGAGTCCCACAGTTGCCACCCCCCAATAATTCACACTTCACACATCAATTTTTGTTTGGGTTTTTTGGCATAATTTTGGCCACAACTTTATTTAAATACAAAATCTGTGAGTGGTTGCTTAGGCATTGGTTATGACTATCTGTCCATGCCCTCAGGGACAGAACTGGCATTCCGGACACCAGCGGAAGCCAGAGGCATTCCGGACACCAGCGGAAGCCTCAGTGGGAAACAAGTATTGGGTGAGCAAATGAAGCTGGGCATCAGTCCCTCACTACTCACCCTCATGTTCCGTTGGGGCTTGCACGGCCCAAGTCCGATGCCAGGGACAAGGACGAAAAGAATGGCAAGCCCCTGGATTCCTTTAACGGAATTCCCTTCGCATCATTTGGAGGGGTAGGCACTTACCCCTCCAAGAACCACCTTAACCAATGCCTAACCGCCAACCTTACAAGTTGTGACGATTTGCTACGCAGTAGGCGAAAACCAATGGCACCAGCCAATCAGCCAATGGCAAAATTCCTACTGTGCCCCCGCACCAAGGCGGACGACTCCATGACAGGCAATAGCAAGGTCAAGCGAACAGGAAAACCTCCTATTAAAGGGAGGGAGGGCGGGTGATCCGAAAGCAAAACGGCCAAGAGGAAGTCCAACCTCTGGCTCCCTATATTTATAGACTCTACCCCTCCCCTGAATTTAGCAACATACAAAACTCCCCAGCAACCCAATATTAACCCTTTAACAGGCTTGGGGGTATTTGTCAAATCTGCCTAGTCATGGCAAGGTGGCCTGTTCCCCCAACCGCAACCCGTGCTCTCTGGTTAATGAGAACACGCTTTGCGTGTTGAGTCCCACAGTTGCCACCCCCCAATAATTCACACTTCACACATCAATTTTTGTTTGGGTTTTTGGCATAATTTTGGCCACAACTTTATTTAAATACAAAATCTGTGAGTGGTTGCTTAGGCATTGGTTATGACTATCTGTCCATGCCCTCAGGGACAGAACTGGCATTCCGGACACCAGCGGAAGCCAGAGGCATTCCGGACACCAGCGGAAGCCAGAGGCATTCCGGACACCAGCGGAAGCCTCAGTGGGAAACAAGTATTGGGTGAGCAAATGAAGCTGGGCATCAGTCCCTCACTACTCACCCTCATGTTCCGTTGGGGCTTGCACGGCCCAAGTCCGATGCCAGGGACAAGGACGAAAAGAATGGCAAGCCCCTGGATTCCTTTAACGGAATTCCCTTCGCATCATTTGGAGGGGTAGGCACTTACCCCTCCAAGAACCACCTTAACCAATGCCTAACCGCCATGGAGCCTCAAGCTCACCGCCAAACCACTCACACCCCCAGCCAAGCCCTTAGCTTAGCCACCACTGCACCTAGCCAAGCCTCGTTCCCCGCGGCAGAAAGGTGCACCCCATCATCCCTAAAAAGGGGCGTAGCTTGAAACAGTATCGCCGGATGGGAAATCACATCACCATCCAACTCAAAAATCTTCTTAACCACCGCAGAATTGATACGCTTTCTGGCCCTTTCTGTGGCTGCAGGGCAAAAACTGCCCACCCAGCTGCGGCGTTGCAGCAGCTTAGACCAAAATAATTTAGCTGACGGCACCAAGGTTCGCAGCGTCTCCAAGTCTCTTAAAATTGCAGCACGCAGTGAGAGACAGTCCACGGATACCAGGTCGTTCTCACCCAACTGTACCACAATAGCCGAGGGTGGCCCTTCCAAGAGCAACTGGCTCCGAATCCTCGGCAGGAACTCCGACCAGCGCATACCCCGTCTGGTCACCCACGACAACTGCACATGTGGAGGGAAGCCGAGACCTGGACCCAATCCGGACTGCCTTGCTGCGACACGAGCCCAATGGATGATGCTATGTCCCACCAACCAGATGCGAACAGCCGCCAGACCTGAGATAAACAAAAACAAAACAGCATAAGTTTCCGAAATTATTAACGGACATAGCCCCGAAAGGCATCCGACTTCCAACGCCCCAAATCCTTTATCCTAGCGGCTGACAAACCCCAATGGGCAGCCGTTGTAGCGGCCCCGATCCTGAAGGAGTGAGGGGCGAAACCCTCTGACGTGCCGTCACAAGCGATAATCGCTTTTCGCATCACCTGAGCAAACTGGTGTCTCGTCAGGGGCAACCCATTTTCGTGTCTAAGCAGAGGCCCCTCACCCGCGATGCGTACTGCTAAGTACTTACTGACATCCTTTACCGGGCAAGGGCCTGCATTTCCCGTAGCAGGGAGACGCATGACAGCGCCCCTACCTTTCTGATCAGTCTTAGAATTTCTGACTGTGATTTTCAATTCTGTGGGGGTTAACTGCACATCCGAGAGCAAAAGGCCCCTGGAACGTCCATCCCTATTATTCTCCAACACCAGTTCGCCCACTCTCAGTGCACCAAAAAAGGCAATAGAAAATGCGGCCGAGAAAAGGCGAGCCTCATACCCCGACCAGCATACCACCCGCAGTCTATTGCGCATCCTGCTCAACAAATCAAAGGAAATGGGGCACCGCGAGGCTGGCTGGGACGGACGAAGTTTAGCCCAGCCCTCAAGAGCCCTGCGCACTATGTACTTTGCACAAGGATCCTTATCATAAAATGTCTTACAGAAAAAGGCTATGGCAGCCGCCTGGATTTTAATGGTCCGTGCTGCCCGTCCCAACTGAAATAAATGCGCCAAATACTTCAACACCTGCGAAGAGGTGGGGGGAGCACCCTCCAAATTGGAGGTTGCCCGGCGCATGAACGCCAAAAAATCGGTCCAAGCCTTTGAGTAAGACCTAAGGGTAGAAGGAGAAACCGAAGCCGCTACTCCCTGCAAGACTAATTGCTGCCAAGGTTCCAGAGATGATCCGGGAAATATTCCGGACGTATCCGTGCCTCTGGAACCAGAAGTCTGAACCGCTCCATCTGAAAACGGGACAGAGCATCAGCAATATCGTTAGACACCCCAGGAATAAAACGTGCCGAAAACACTATATTATGACGTAAACAATGCAACACGAAAGCCCGCAGCAAGGCCGACACCCTGGGAGAGCGTGATGACAGCTTCGCCAGCACGTTCACTACTGCCTGATTATCGGTCCAGAAGCAGACACGGCGGTTCCTGAATTCCTCGACCCACAAATGTACCGCCACTGCAATGGGAAAAAACTCGAGAAATGTTAGATCCCGTGTGATTTCCCCACCCTGCCACTCAGGCGGCCAACGCTCTGCGCACCACTTCCCATTCCAGTAAAGACCAAAACCCAGGGAACCTGCAGCATCTGATTGCACCTGGAAATCATTTTGCAAGTTTAGCGTATCTTGCCATAAGGACACCCCATTGAATTCCTCCAGGAATTCGAGCCATATGGAAAGATCGGCCCTCACCTCCCTAGAAAGGCGCACCCTATGATGAGGGGCCCTCAATCCCACAGTAAGGCGAGCCAGGCGCGAACAGAAAGGGCGTCCAGGTGCCACCACCCGGCATGCGAAATTTAGATGACCCAACAATGATTGAATTTGCAGAAGGGATACTTTTTTCAACGGGAGCAATTCCTCTATGACCTTCTTCAAGGCTACTAGCTTATCCATCGGCAAACTAGAAGTCTGGGCTACCGTATCCAACAGGATACCCAAATATATAAGCCGAGTAGAAGGACCCTCAGTCTTTTCCGCAGCGAGCGGAACCCCCAACTCCTGCGTAAGGTCAGCAAAGGCCTGTAGCAGCACCGAGCACTCACCGGTATCGTGGGCCGAGGCCAATAAAAAATCATCGAGATAATGCGTGACCCCGCCCAGCCCTGTTTTAAATTTAAGGGCCCACTCAAGAAAAGTGCTAAAGGATTCAAAAGCAGCGCAGGCTATTGAGCAACCCATAGGCATAGCCTTATCAAAGTAATACTTGTCCTCGAACTGAAAACCCAGTAGCCAAAAATCATCCGGATGAATTGGAAGAAGACGAAATGCCGACTCAATGTCGCATTTTGCCAATAGGGCAGCGGGGCCGAACTTCCTAATCATCTTGATCGCCTGATCAAGAGATGCATACTTCACAGAGCAAAGCTCCGGGGGGATGACATCATTGACTGAAGTACCCCTGGGATGTGACAAATTATGAATTAAACGAAATTCACCCGGGGCCTTCTTTGGGACAATACCCAATGGGGATACATGCAGATTATGAAAAGGAGGGGCATCAAAAGGACCGGCCATGCGATGCAAGGCCAGCTCTTTTGCAATCTTTCTGCGAGCGACGTCAGGTAGCTCACGAATCGATTTTTGGTTAGACGGATTCCGTGCCACGGGAGGCATGGCTACCGGAATCCGGAAACCAACAGAAAAACCATCCTTCAAATAACCTGCCGCAAACCTGTCAGGATAAGACTGCAACCAAAGTTGCAGGGCCGGCAGCCGCACAGGGGTATGAGCCATGGTGGACAAGAGCTCATTTTCCTGTGACTGGAGCGGGGGAGAGAGGGGTGCTTTGCTTGGGGGTTTGCTGGGAACCCCCTTTTCCGCCACGAAAGGGCCGCCGATTACCAAAACAGGAAGAAGAGGGATGCGAACCACCGCATTTCTCACAAGTGTGGGCGTACCTACACCCCTGTCGCTGACAAGAGCCCTTATTATAATCCCAGCATGGGAAACGACGGTTAGGCCTAAAGGCTCCAAACTTCGACTTCTGCTGCTCCGTAGCTTTCTTGTCGATGAGTGGAGCCACGTGGGTGGTCCATACATCGAGATCCTTACTATCCCATCGCGCAGAGGGGATCCTAGCGGCGCGGCGCCTGAAGTTCTCATCATATTTTATCGCAGCTTTTTCACCAGCTTTGGTGAAGGCCGAGCGAACAATAGACAAGTAAACTATCAAATGAAGCGATCTCCGTGGGTAAGCTGCCACCACTACTCCAGCAAAGACCTGGAAACAATCGAGCCAATGCTCGAAGGTCCTGTCAGCCGAGGGGGTGCTCTGGCGCTTCTTAGCTGACTTCCCTCCTTCCTGGTCCTCGGAAGGAGGAGCTAATTTGAAAATGTCCACAAAACGGCCGTTCAGAATCCTGGACCGCAGTCTTGTCGACAGATGCAAACCGGGAATAATGTCCCTCGCAGAATTGGTAGAGACTTTAACGTCAGGGACCAACACGCCATCCCTACACTCTTGGGCCGCCCCATACCTGGCGCGGTGCGAGTTGGCCCTCCGATCCCAAGCCCACCGAGGCAGACCCGAGGCCGACTCACCAAAACCCCAGTAAAGTTCCCTGGAATCGCCAGACTCATCATCAGAGCTGGAGGATGACGTACCAGTATACGAAGAAGACGATTCGGCCCTTCTTCGCTTGGAACGTTTCCGGGAAGACCTTCTGCGGCGACGCTTCCCGCCCGAAGACCTCCTGGCAGGAACTGGCAAGCTATCTTCAACGGAAGCCTCAGAATCAGGGCTCAGCTGTGCTGCACCTGGAGCTGCTTGAGGAGAAACAACAAGTGAGAGACCGGAACCCGACGCCACCTCGTCAGAAGATTGGATGTGCACACCTCGGCGGGCGGAAGCTGCTACAACATTTTGGCTCCTCGCAGCCCTCCCGGAGGAACTCCGTGGCCTCCGTGAACGGCCCCGAGGAACAGGTGAGTCGCGGGGCTGGGCTAATTGGGAATCAGTCCTCAAACCCTTAGATGATCCGTCTCTCCCATCTTCACTAGATGACGGCGACGCTGGGGACGACGACACCACATGGCGAGGACGCCTGCCAGACGTGGAAGGCTGAGCAGAGCAGTGTTGAAGGAGGCCATCCATCTGGGCTGCGAAACGAGACAAAGCCGCCGGATTGCCGGCCATACTTTCCACCAACGTTTGCACCCTTCCCGCGGGTTGTCTCGGGGCGGGAGAGCGAAGCGCCTGCGATGGACCCCTAATAGGCCGCTTTGCACCAGAAGCTGGGCCGGGACGAGCAGCAACCTTCTTGGGAGCCATACCTGCTATATGAAATCAAAGAGAATTAACAAACGCCACAACCTGGCGTCGCTAATAGAAACAGATAATGAATTCCAGAGAAGGCAACAATACTGCAAAATGCCGGATAAATAACAAAATAATTACTAAAGCAACAACGTCCAATATCCAAGGCAATCTATATTATCTATCTCTCTATCTATCTGTCTATCTATTTATCTATTTATCTAAATAAAATGTATCTATTTAAATCATTAATTTATTTAATCCGATATTATTTTTTATTATTTATTACTTCAATGCCTATTAAACCAATGGTGGATTAAACAAATTATTAGATGCAATTCCCCGCTTCTCCAGCAGGGGGCACCCGACAGTCCCCACGCTCACACAACAGCTGTAATGCTGGGTTGAGCCACCAGGGGGAGCTCCCAGCCTAGAGTCTAGCTGCAATTATTAACTTGACCACCAGGGGGAATAATCAGGAGGAACAGCAGCCACCACGAGGAATTCTCCTCTCGCGGTGCTTGCTGTAGCTGCGCTGGCGGGCAGAGGCGCGGGCCGTCACCCCCGATCCCAGGGAAGCGGCCCCGGTGCTCCGCACGGCGGAAGAATGGGGGAAGGCCAGGAAACCAAGGGCCTAGCCCCCCCACGCCGATCGCGCCGGTTCCGCCGCGCCGACCCGCCTGAGCCGGGCACCCGCCGCGCCCTCCCGCGCCGCTCGCGCCGAGCGGCCTACTAGGCCAGGCGCCGGTAACTCCCCGGCGGCGCCTCCTGCGCCCCTGTGGGCCTAAAAACGGACCCTTGACGCCCCGGAGCCAGACGCGAGCTCCACGCGATCAGCGCCGCTCAGGCCACGCGGCCCACTAGGACGCCCTCCCCTCACAGCCCCGGTAGCAGCCGGGAAGGATCCAACCCACAGCGGCGCTCCGGAGCCGCGAAAGGCCTAGAATATACGGGGACGACCTCCAGGTAAGGGAAGGGGCTTCGGGACTCCGCGGGACCCCAATTAGGCCCGCGCGGCTCACAAGGGGGGGGATGGGGCGGATGGGGGGGAGATTGTTTAGCTTTGATTTGTTCGTTTACTAAGAACGAAAAGAAAGCCAGGCCCTGACGCAGCGGGAAGCCGGGAGCGGGCGCCCCGAACTCCGGGGGAAATCCCGAAGCCTAAGCCAAGGCCGGGCCTGGCAGGCCGGGGGGGGGAACCCACCCTCTAGCCTTGCTATAGGCCCCTTCCCCTTTATAAATGAGAAGGGACCTAAATAAAACGAATACAATTTAGGGGATGGTGGGGAGGTACGGGGGAGGGGGAATGGGATGGGGAATCAAATAGATTAAGGGAATTAAATAAGGCAGGACAATTGGAAAAGGACACCAAACTAGGCCCCAGCAATCAAAAGTAAGAAAACAGTACAACCGTCTCAAAGCAGCTCCTGATCCGAAAGCAAAACGGCCAAGAGGAAGTCCAACCTCTGGCTCCCTATATTTATAGACTCTACCCCTCCCCTGAATTTAGCAACATACAAAACTCCCCAGCAACCCAATATTAACCCTTTAACAGGCTTGGGGGTATTTGTCAAATCTGCCTAGTCATGGCAAGGTGGCCTGTTCCCCCAACCGCAACCCGTGCTCTCTGGTTAATGAGAACACGCTTTACAGATCCTCTATAATTCTTTGCAAAGAAGAAGGATTCCTTCCCAAACCGCCAGAAGGAACAGCACACATCTGATTTTGCACATGAACTAAAAGATTTGTTGGGGAAATCTTTGCTTAATTTTACAAGCCATAGCAGCACTGTTAATTCAAATCTATTTTTTCGTTTCCTGCATTAAGCGGTCACCACAGGCCACTCATCTGTGCTGTAGGTCTCCTAAATGAGGAAATGTTGCCATATGCTACATGGTTGGTGCCAATGCTGCATTTTTCCTTGTACCGTTTAATAAAGGTATTTCCAGCCACATTATAAAACATTAGGCTTATCCCACCCTCCTCTCTTCCTGATTGCAAGCCTGTCCTTATATGCAACCTCTGATATATCAGCCTTTAATCAATAATAAAAAAAGAAATTAAAACAAACCATGACCATCCAGGAAGAATGCAAACCCACCAAAATGGAGAGTAAAAATTTAATTAGGAGGTGAAAATCCTTCTGTTCCAAGTATTTCAAAAGAGGTCAGCCAATACTCACAATTCTTAATGTACATTCTACCTTCCAACTACTGTGTATATACTACCAGAAGGAAGCAGAGCCAGTTTTATGAGGGGCCAAGTACAATAATGAACTCTGCAAACCACAAGGACTTCTAGAAATCTGTGCTTAAAACAGCTGGGGGGCTGGACCCTTCCCTCCTTTCATTTAAATGCAATAAAAAACCACTACAGCGATCCTTATCATTTTCGCCCTGGTCTTGTTGGAACTCCTAGTGTATATTTTCTTTATTTAAAAAGGTCAGGAATGTGAGCCAGTAATCCATGTTAACAACCAGCCGTGTCACCTTCTTTTAAGCAAAGTGCTACAGACTATAGCATTCTTATATGAATTCCCCTTTTATCATTCAATCTCCTTTAGACTCCTGAGAATACTAGCAAAATATCTCTTCAGAAGTGGGAGGAGGATGAAGCCCCACTGACTCTTTCACAAGGTCCCAAACATCTAAGAGAAACATGCCTCAGTGTGTTCTTATACTCTGTATAGTTTAAGTCAGTGACAGTATTATAAGTAACTTCATCTGACAAGGTAGGTGGAGGAGAATGTCGAACACAGAAAGCACCGCTGAAGTACAATGTCACAGCATTTCGAAGGAACCAGTTCCAAATAGCCACTCTAGCCTAGCTTATATACAGGCAGTGAAACACTTCGTCTTTTATTAAAAGAACCATCCCCTGCACTCCGAGAGGGGGAGAAAATCATTTTGGCTAAAGGGGACCAGTGGTAAAGCAGTACCAGATAGCAATGGAGTGGTTAACTTGCTAAGAATTTTTATATGCAGCAAGGCAAGGACATATTCATCATCATGTTCAGGAAGCGTGTTCAGATCAGGCACACCTGCATTCATGCACAAGCACGACACCCCAAATTTCTGCATGCCTTCTCCTTCAAAAAACAGGGGAGCAAGGATCACAGAAATAAGACGTGCCATACACATTGATGAAATGTATTCACTTACACAGAATCCACGTATTATGTGTAATGGCTTCTGTACGTGAGCCTACACCCCACTGTGCACAGATAGATTCCACATTCATGAACGAGTGAGGTGAGCTAGCCGAGAGTGCGCCTCTATGGAAACACAATGGATTGCCACAATGGTGAACTTTGATGTTGTTCTTCTCGAAACGAAACTTCTAATTCTTTGATTCCAAAAACAGCATCTAGCGATTAACGGCGAGCCTTGCTGCACATGCCAGCATCTTCCATTTCCAAGTAACAAAACAGGTGTCATCATTACTTGTTGCTAAGACAACAAAACACAGTTTGGCTTACAAACGTTCAAGAGTAATGCATTTATTTTTCCTTGCAGGGAAGCTAAAAAGGAATAACAACTCACATCTCACAAGCACTTTAAGGACATTTGAAGTCACGAGTTCCCTTAGTGAATGCAGTAAGTCTGTTCATGTACATAAAGTATATATCTGAACAGTTTTCCTGCACCAGAACCAAAGCTGTTAAGTATTTTCTCTGAGAAGCTTCCAGATCCTGGGTGTTCTTTCACGGAGTGAACCATTAATTTCCCAGGAAAATTGAGCATAATGAGATGTTTCTATTCTGCGTTCTCAACTCAAAATAGGCCTCTAATCTTTTGCCAGGGTAACTCCACAGAGGCCATTGGGATTAACAAATAATTGGGATTAACAAATAATTCACACATACAACATCTCTTGTCTCTTTGGGATTAGACGGCAGCAAGCTCCCTGTAGTTTAGGCAGGAGCAGGGTTAATAAATTATCTTTAACAAATTTCTTTGAACATACCTTGAACTAATAATCCTTCACTAAGTGCATTATGTTATCTCCATAACTATTCTTAGGAGTGTATTATCACTGATATCCATGTTAGGGGAGGACAGCTTTCACAGATTCCTTTAAAAGATACTTTCTTCAAAAGCCAGGAGTATAACTGACCTAGCTCAGTATATTTATTAATCGTGGGGTCGTGAGTTTGAGCCCCACATTAGGCAAAATATCCCTGCATTGCAGGAAATTGGACTAAATGACCCTTGTGTGTCTAGAAGCGGTTGGAGGATGGATGGCAGCTAAAAGATTGAAGTTGAATCCTGACAAGACAGAAGTACTATTTTCAGGTGACAGGGGCGTGCGGATGTGGAGGACTCCCTGGTCCTGAATGGGGTAACTGTGCCTCTGAAGGACCAGGTGCACAGCCTGGGAGTAATTTTGGACTCACAGCTGTTCATGGAGGCGCAGGTCAATTCTGTGTCCAGGGTAGCTGTCTACCAGCTCCATCTGGTAGGCAGACTGAGACCCTGCCTGCCCATGGACTGTCTTGCCAGAGTGGTGCATGCTCTGGTTATCTCCTGCTTGGACTACTGCAGTGCAGAGCTACCTTTGAAGGTGACCCAGAAACTACAACTAATTCAGAATGTGGCAGCTAGACTGGTGACTGGGAGTGGCCGCTGAAACCATATAACAGCAGTCCTGAAAAACCTACATTGGCTCCCAGTACGTTTCCGAGCACAATTCAAAGTGTTGGTGCTGACCTTCAAACCCCTAAATGGCCTCGGTCCAGAATACCTGCAGGAGCGTCTCCACCCCCATCATTCAGCCCAGACACTGAGGTCCAGCTCCGAGGGCCTTCTGGCGGTTCCCTCACTGCGAGAAGTGAGGTTACAGGGAACCAGGCACAGGGCCTTCTCGGTAGTGCCACCCTGTGGAATGCCCTCCCATCAGATGACAAATAGATAAACAACTATCTAACGTTTAGAAGCCATCTGAAGGCAGCCCTGTTTAGGGAAGTTTTTAATGTCTGTTTTATCTCTGCTTTATTATCATCATCGTCGGCGTCATCATCATCATCAATTCTGTTTGGAGCTGCGCAGAGTGGCTGGGGAAACCCAGCCGGATGGGCAGGGTATAAATAATAAATTATTGTGGTCTCTACCAAATCTACAGTCCTGTAATTCTATGATCCTATTATCAAACTCAGGTAGCCAGAGGTAGATAGGGCACCTGGTCATCCGCCATTGGTCAGAAAGGCTATTAGATGGCACTGTGTCTTAGAGTGGAGGCAAAAGCAGCATCCTTCCCCTGCCTTCTGGTGTCTGATGCAGTGACAGAATGCTAATGACCTAAGTGAGTCCGTCTCACATCATGGCTCCTCCTCCCCACCAGCTCTTCTACTTAGCAAAGTTTAGCTCTTACTGATGCCAAGCAGAATCAGTTCATATAAGAAGGGGAGGTGTGCTTTGTCTAGTTGAAGGCAAACTGTAGCTCAGTAGAAAGGTTGCAGTTCAGTGGTACAGCATCATGTCTCAGGTTCAATTTCCAGGTAGGACTCGGAATGTGCCCTGTCTGAAGCCCTGGAGAGCCCACTTTAATTCATGGCTTGTGGGCCCATTTAATCCATAGGGTTACTATGGGGTAAACCTAAGTGCCCAGTCCCATACTTTGTATAATGTGACCTTGCTCTCAAACTACCGTATGGCTGTCTGGGATTGTTCCCATTCTCAAGAAACAGCACACATTTTTGAATGAATTCTTTCAAAATTCAACTGGGATAAATCACACTGTAGTTAGCATTTCTACAAGGGGGGCACTAGGAAAATAAGTTTTACATTTCTAGAGAACGAACTGGCAAAATGAAAGGGAAAATGAATTTATTTTGCAAATTATTTCATTGCAAAATGAATGGCAGCGGTGGGGGGGGGGAGTAAAGTGCAGGGAGATGGAGAGAAACAAAGAGAGAGCTACTGGTTGATGAGGCGCGCAAGTATTATAAACTAACGGGCATGTTAAGCCACAAAGCAAACGCTAATGGGAAAGACGAAAATGGATGTGCACTCACTTACATCATTGCATGGGGGAACAAACAAATACTATAGTCAAAGAAGACTCAGACAGCAAACACTATTGTAGACAAGAGTCCGCATGTTTTGAATGATAACTAAGAGTCAGGTAATAAACAAAATGCGGGCCTCTTTCTTGTGTGCCTTTATCAAAGTAGGTGTCTCTCTCTTTAGAACAGGCTTCTCAAAACAAGTGCCATCTTGATGATTTGGACGACAATTCCCATCAGTCTTAGCCAGCGTGGGTTCTGCTTTGTTGGTTGGGACTGCTAGAAGTTGTAGTCTAAGGCAGGGGCTGTGCATCCCATTTCAACGCCTGAGGCAAAATGGGACAGTGCCCCACCACCGCACTGCACTACTCCTGCCCAAACCTCCCTTACCTGGGTTGTGTGGTGATGCCTGAGAAGCGGCAATATCTTGCAAGGCCCATGGGGGCACAGTTTTGTGGAGTTTTGCCACCTGAGGCAGCTGCCTCAGCCCACCCCATGGCAGGCCGGTCTTGGTCTAAGGTATTACGAGGGCACAATTTAAGGAAAGCTGCTTTAAAACATAGGAAAAGCCCAGGGGAGAAATATGGCGGACTGAACATCTTCTGTTGGCAACTCACTGACAGAGATAATTATGTGGTGGT